AAGTTAAAATAAAGTGTGTTCTAATAACTTGGACCGAATTGTGAATTATCTTTAAGCGTCTAATGACTTTTTTCTTTCAGATTTAACAACTTAAGTCTTTGTTAATTTCAACCATGGAAAGATTAACAATCAAACAACGTGTTAAAGTTTCAAGAGTGCAATTGGAAAAATTGTTTGTAAATTCAAGCAAACTAGGTCGGTGGCAGATGTGAAAATATCATTGTGTACTCGTTTATGATGTTCAGCTGAAAACATCACTGCAGTACACAAGAATGTGGTAAAAAATCCAGACACCACTATTCGTCATCACGTGCTGGAATTGAACCTCTCCACAACAATGTTACATCGATTCCAATTGCACTCTCTTTTGGTTGATTATGCTGACCAAAAAAATTGCAAAGTTCACAAAATGCATTTCTGTTTGAATGTCCATTTTCATAATAGGCTTCAATAACTTTAACACATTGTTTCATTGTTAATCTTTCCATGGTTGAAATTGTCAAAGACTTAAGCTGAAAGAAAAAGAAAAAAAAATCATTAGATGCTTAAACTTAATTCACATCTAAAAGTTCCAACACTCTTTATAACCAAATTGTGTGAACTTTATTGAATAAAAATTGACACAACTGGAATCAGAAATGACTTGAAAGGAAGTCCAGTTCAACATCCTAAGAATTTTTATACCAACTACTAAACCATTAAACCAATAACAAATAACTTCTTCTTTGCAGCTATAAAATAGCCATTTTGAGAAATATTTCTACTTTTTTGTAGTGTCAATTTTATATTTTGTCTTATTAGTAGTGCATTTTTACTAAACATGGAATTTATGTATTTTATGCTATCAAATTTAATAATGTATACAATAAAACTTAACTCTAACTTGAAAAGAAACAGAAAAAAGGGAACTATTTGATTTCATTTTTCTTGTACTATTTCCAGGATCTGTTGAGAGAGCATTGCTGTGGACAATGTTTCCATTAGGTAGCCCCTTTAGTTTTTGCTCAATCACTTTTTTTTTTCCTTTTTCTCTCTCAATTCTATTGTAGTTAATAAGTAATGGGGAGAGAGAAAGATAGATAGACAGATAGCTGTTAGAAATTGTTAACATAAAAATTACAAATGTATTTGCAGAATGTGAAATTTTAACCTTTTCAGTGCACAGATGCATGATCTCTGTATTGAACAGCATTGTGAGAAGATGATTGTTTGAATTGTCTATAGATCTTAAAAATAAATCAAATTGTTAGTGTTTTAGTCCTTAAATCTGCTCAAGTGAGAATATGAAACTCTCTGCCTTGCGTACAAAATAGATTACCAAAACCTCTTATTCAATTATCTAAATGTATTATTAACACATTGACTGCCAACAATTAGATAACTTTTAGGTTGGTAGTTTATATTTGAAGCTATAAATCAACTTATTTTTTAGTGCCTAAGATGACTATTATAATGTTGGCGTTTGAAGTTGGATTTTGTAATTGACCTCAGATGGTCAATGTGGTAAAAGGACATGTGGGTGGTAACAGCTCAGAATAAGAAATCAACAAGCGGGGTTCAAATTCAAAGTTACATTCACTTTCACACTAATACCATTGAAAATCCATCTCTTCCTTCCCCAGCTATGGGTTAAATAGTAAGGCAGATTAGGCTCTTCAGCCTTGCTTGGCAACCAGTCTAGGAGGGTGATAACTCTGAATTCAGAAGTGTATGTAGCTGTGATGAAGTACATAGTGTGCAGCTAACAAAAGGATCATGGCATTTACAGTGACTATGATCCAAACTGCGGTCAATTAATCAATTATTAATAGTAACGGTTGAAAGACAATTTATATGATTGATGTCTTTTAAAGAGTCTTTCAAAGCAGTTAATATTTTACATAACACAAATTCTTTCAATTTAATATAAATAGAAGCTATACAATTATCTTTTCACAATGGGTGCAATCTATTTTTCCTTCCAAAATCCATCCTTTCACAGCAGCCAGATTCTTTCTTGCAATTTAAATGTCTTTAAATGTTTATACATGGTGAAAAAAATCAACAGGAGTAAATAGGTTTGTCATTCAGTTCACACTCTTCCCTAGTTTTTGAACAGGAGTAGAGGTTTATCCCTTGCTTCCTGTTTAGGATTGATTTTCCAGTTCCTTCTAAAGTTTATTTCCACACTATACTTCTGTCTCCGTCTGAACTTAGAAATGCTATTCACTAATTAAATCTTGACTTCTTCAAGTCTACAGTTCGCTGTTATCTTTCCTGCATAGACCCAAGCACTTCACTTGCCCTTTCTTACACTAATACAACTCTACACAGTAATCCTCTACCTTGAGTGGCCCTTGGGCCTTGTATTAGGTGAACAATTAGTAAAAAATAAAGATAAAAAATGATAATTTTTCAAATCAATTTCATCTGATTTAGAATTATCTTTCTTGTATCTTTATATTTTTTTATTTAGTTTCGCATCCACAAACTTGTCACTTTTGTTATTAATTTCTAAATTGTCTTTCCTTGTTAATTCTTCTCTAATCAATAAATGTCACGAGTCATATCTAATTCATTGTTTAATATTAACTTCAAAATAATACATAGAAATAAGAATTAAACGTCTATAAACACCAAATTTATATTTAAACTTTCAACAGTAAAACAATGTAAATAGTGATTATTTGAATTCTTTCTTCATGGTGCTTGCCTCTTGCAGTGTTCATAAAGATTATACCTTAACTTGTGCACTGTCAACAATATATAAGTCATATGTTGTTAACCATATAAAATCAGAGTTGACAAGTGGCACATTGATCTTCCATTAATGTCAATGTTTTCCAAACAGTTTCATTTACTCAGATTCACTCACAAGGTATGATGGGTCAACCCATGGTATGGTTTTCAGGCATGCTAGAACCATCTCCTCAGGGCAACGTTATCAAGATGTCACATCTTTGACCAATTGAACCATGGTGCAGTTTGAACATAGCTCACATGGTTGTAACACTAACTCTAACCATTTGGTCACATGCCCACTATTATTTTCATGAATAAAGTTGTTTTTTATGAGGTGGGGGTCCACAATTTCATTACAAATGAAAAAACTTATAACAGCGAAGATGTGGTTCTACCAATAAATATTTAAAATACAATGGATAGAGCATGTGACAAATGAGGAAGTTCTGAGGAGAACAGAAGTTACAAAGAAACTTGTTAACAATCAAACACAAAGTTTTGGGTCACATATTGAGGAAAGAGAGCTTGAAGAATCTAATACTCACAGGGCTCATTAAACACAAGAGAAGCAGAGTAAAACAGCAAGTTACATACTTGACAAGTTTTAATAAATGGTAGGAGGAACATGTATCCCAAAGAGAGCAACAACAGATAGGACACTGTAGAGAGCCATGATTTACCATGTTCTGAAAGAACATGGCATTTTTAAATAAATGCCTGGTCTAGTAGAAACTGAAGAAAGTTGAGTAATTTGGTTATATTGCCACAGTATTTAAGAATATTTAGACTTTAAAATATCCTGAAAGAAGCACTAATTGTAACCTTTAAAAAACAGCATAAATTAGATGGTGCTTTTAATATATATATATATATATATATATATATATATCAGACTTGTTAAGCAACGTTACTATAATTTATAGCATTCTAAACTCAAGGAGAGTCAATACAACCTTTAATGGCTCAAAAAAAGTTCCTTTACTTCGGAACACCATAAATTATACTAATGCTGATGAACAAGCCAAGTGCACATGAAGCCTGATTCACCAATGAAAATCAAACAAAAAAATAAAAATACCAGAATTTCTTTCTTTTTTCTTCATATCTTATTCTCTGAAGCTTTAATAAAAGTGAAACACATATCATTGATAAATGTTTCCTATTTGTTACTTATTCTATCATTCTGTCATTCCGATCCATATTTGATCTGTATTTGATTCTGATTCATATATATATATATATATATATATATATATAAAAAATAAAAAAATAAATATAAATTCTTCAAACTTTGTATTCATATACTTCCATTCTAACTTGAGGTATTTGTTTAGTTAAATGAAGAGACTTAGGTTATCCATAAATTTCTAGAATGTTCTCTGATTATGTGGTAACAAAGCAACTTGTTTTCTTGTATGAAGAAAATATTATTACTCAAAATAATAAATTTTAAAAACAATGAGGATGTTAGTCTCAATAAAAGCTACAATGTCAATAACACCCCCACCTCACCAGTACTGGACTAAATTTACCTTTCATCCAACAATGAATTGCTTTATCCACTGGGTTCCAATTCTAGACACATGCAAACTTTTATCTTTCCTTTTTTTTTCATGTTGGATGTTTTCATTGTGCATGGCTGTTTCCTCCAACTCCTTACAGATCATTGTTTAGTTTTTATCAATCAAATTATTCATTCCCTGGGATTTATTTTTTTTAATGAAAACATTATGCATCTTGGTTTTCCTTTTCCACACACAGTGTTATTCTGTTTGGTTGCCATCCTTTCATTCACATATGCTTGTTCAACACATCCCGACATCCTGTTAATATTTTTCTTAATTGATTATCTCCCCTGTTTTGCATGTCTCCATTTCCCACCATCATTTGGGATGCAATTAATTTTTTTTGCTTATTTTTTAAACATTGCTTGTATTTTATCTGAAAAATTCCTTTTGGCTTTCATGTACCATATATATATATATATATATATATATATATATATATATATATATATATATATATATATATATATATATATTCCAACATTCGTCCATTTTTGTTTCTAATAATTGTATTTCTTCAATTTGTATGTTTTTATTCTCTGTAATATAAAAAAAGTTAATCACAATTAGTTTCAAACTTTCATCTTTATAGCAGGCTTGAGCAATTATTTATTGATTAAATAACAGATAGTGTATTTCATATTTAAAAAAATAAAAATTTTAATTGTGCTCCGTTTTCCAAAACTGATTTTTTTAAAATGTTTTTATTTTCAGAGATTTTACAAACACGGACACATACTGATAAACCTTTGGGTATGTACCCTCTTTTCAAAACTCTTTCTTTTAAATGATTAATTAATTTTAAATCTCTGCTGAATTATTTAATTTGATTTGACCATTCAGTGTTTAATAGACAATTCCTTAGTCATAATGATACAGTTTAAAAAAGAAAAGTTTGCCGCAGTGTAAGAACAAGTATGACTCAGTAGCCATAACAGCTAATGATTCACTTATAACTTGAAAGTCCTTGCCCTCTGCAAAGGTTACAGATATTAAAGGAAAAAAAATAACCACTGAATATATGTATTTTTTAATAGGTATTTATTCAGTTTAGCTTAGTGTGGCACTATCACATGTATGGCACCCAGTGAGGATCAAACTCACTACTATTTTTTTATTTATTTCTTCACAGATGAGTTTGAACGTTCAGAAGCAATTCGAAAAAGCAAACGAGTTGCTGCAATTGGCAATCTGATCAACAGTTCAAACATTATGAAAGCCCAGCCAATTATGAGATCAAGCTGGGGAGGATCATGTGAAGATCTGTACTTTGATCGAGGAAGTGGATTTTCGTCTCATTCACAAAGCCCTTCTAGCAGCCGAGAAACCTCTCCAGTGTTGTCAAAGAAAGATTTGGTAAGACACTTTTAGTTAATATCTTTGTGATTTCAAGCTATAATAAATGTGTGTGTGTGTGTGGTGTTCATTGTTATATGGGAATATATTTCTTTCCCAAATTGATTAAATGATTGATTCCAACAAATAAATTGGGGTCAAATATGGATTAGAATCCAACAGAATGACAGAATAAAGAACAAATAGGAAACCTTTATAAATTTATCATGTGTCACTTTTATTTAAGCTTCATCAAAAATGAAATACAAAAGAGAAAGTGGTATTTTTTTTATTTTTGTGTTTGTTTTTCATTAGTTAAGCGGACCTCACATGTATTTGTCTTGTCTGATAGTGTCTGTATGTATAATTATTGTGTGTTTGTGTATCATAATTCTAGTTGGTCTATGTGAGATTTGGTTGATAATGTGTGCACAAGCATAGTTGGCATTTTTATTTATATATGGTAGTGTCTGTATGTTGATTGAGGAAATCAGATTAACCACAACCAGTGTAAGCTAAATTTTTTCACTCGCACAAAAAATCCCCCAATCAATATACGAACACTACCAGATAGTGCCCACTATGCTCGTGCACACACAGACCAACTAGAATTATGATACACAAACACTCGAGAAATATACACACAAATGCTACCAGACAAGACAAATACACATGAGGTCTGCTTAACCAATGAAAAACAAACACAAAAATAAAATATTCCAGAATTTTTTTCTCCATCATATTTCATTTCTGATGAAGCTTAAATAAAAGTAAAATCTTTTAAATTTGTAAATGTTTCCTATTTGTTCCTTATCCTAACACTTGAATGAATATAAATAACAACAGTATTACAAGAATTTGGAAAGAATTTTTAAAAGTTTAGTTAAGAATAAAATTGCAGTCTGGTGGGCAGCTTTGTATTGCATTCTGTTTCTCTTTTTAAAATTCTAAAATATAAGTTTTTTTTTTCTGAAGCCAGTGATAGAAACCATATTTACATCATCCAAGAAGAAATGCATCTGTATTGATAAATAAATAAAATTTTAGTTTAGCTATATATATATATATATATATATATATATATATATATATATATATATTGGAATAATGTTTTGATACCACAAAACAAATATAACGATTTAAAGAAAATGAATTTCTTTTGTATGACCATTTTTTTTTTTTTTTGCAGGACCTAGGTACCTTTTCGCCAACGCTTCATCAGGGTCTTTTCGTTGGCAAATGATTTTAAACAAACAATGAAAATGAAAAGAACGCCAAAATGGTATGGTTGGAACACGTCTAAAATTTTACGAAGATATGTACACAATGAACTCGTTTTCAATTATATGCGTAGGCAGGTCCAAATATCATCTGTCTATTTTGGAAGCCATCTGCCTCAAATTATTTAAACCATCGCTTTCTAAACAAAAGGAGAATTTTTCACGATCGCTAAATTTATTTTTTGATATATGAGCAACTTATTTTCCTATCTTACTGCTCAGGTTGGTTCATTATTATTAATTCATTATTTACGCATTTATTTTAATCGTAAATTTATTTTAATTTTACGTATACATATCTTCGTAAAATTTTAGGCGTGTTCCAACCATACCATTTTGGCGTTCTTTTCATTTTCATTGTTTGTTTAAAATCATTTGCCAACAAAAGACCCTGATGAAGCGTTTAAAGGTACCTAGGTCCAAAAAAAAAAAAAAAAAAAAAATGGTCATACAAAAGAAATTCATTTTCTTTAAATCGATAGATATATATATATATATATATATATATATATAAATGTGTGTGTGTGTGTATATATATATATATATGTATAAAGTAAAGTAAAAAATCCATTGGTATATAATCCAAGTGGATTCTAGTAATATAAAAATATTAGAACTGATCCACAAAAAAGAGCTTGATGTATTTTATTTAATTTATACAGTGCAATATAATTAATAATTAAATAAATCCTTTTAACTGATATGGGGAATAGGCTATTTCAGCAGATGATGAAAGTGGACGTCTGTCTTTTCACACCCCCCCCCCAATGTGGAATGAAAGGAAGTTCATGTCTGTAAGGTTAGAGGAAGCAGGATGTAGCAGTTAACTGTGATAGGTACCCACCACCACCCTCCTTGACCCCCTCTCTCTCTATTAGGTGTTTTTGGCAAGTTAAGGTTAAAGTTGACTCTTTAGCTTCCAATCTCAACTCCTCACTGTTAACTGCTGCATCCTCTAACCTTATAGACATAAACTTCATTTCATTCCACACAGGGATTAAAAAGACAGACAACCACTTTTGTCGTCTGCTGAAATAGCCAATTCCCATATGAGGTAAAAGGATTTCTTTGATTATTAATTATATATATATATATATTTCTGATGTGTTAAATGCCTTCACAGCATCTATAATGTACAAAGAGGAGAACAATAGTTAGAAATAAAGTATATTGACAATTATTTATCTCAAAAATGAAATACAAAATAAATCAAAAAGCAGTAGAAACCCACCATGATAACCAAATGTCAAAACCATCTGACATTGAATACAAAGGCTCCATAAAAAGCCACAAATGCCCGTTGGGGCAGTGGCATAGTGGATATAGGAGTTGGTTATACATTTCTTACTGTCATGACTCTGCCTAAACAGAATAAGTTGAAATGACACATTTTGGATTCTATAAATGCCCGTTTCTTTTAAACTAGGTTGGCATAAATAGGACAAAATATTCTATACTCTTCATTCTATTCTTGCATTGTTGGTCCTACTAAGCAGTTTTTCACTGAAATAGTATCTAACATATTTCTTAACATATGAGTATTAAAGATGACTATAGGTTTGCTTCTCTAAAGAATGTTGTGTTTTGACATGTTAACCATCTGTGTGGCAGTGAAGAATATACCATGAAAATAAATGCAATAATCCAGTTTTACTTGAATATATCATAAAATAAATGTAATAATCCAGTTTTACTTGAATATATCATAAAAAATGTAATAATCCAGTTTTACTGGATTGTATAATAAAAATGATGAGCCACCTTAATATAACCCATTAAAACTCTTAATCCTAGCAAATAAAATGCATTTTGGTTTAATATTTTATTGTCTCAGAAAGTATAATTTTTTAGTTATTTCTTCACCTGTATCATATAATTTATTTTTGAATCCGTGAAAATGCATTTTAATCTTTTACTTTTATTATTCTTTTAAAGACAGACAATTTTTAGCAAGAATAAAGTTATAAAACTAATTTTTTTTTAATATCCTGCTTTTTTTTTCTCTTTCTACTTTCTTAAAATAACTTGATCACATGTTTTCAAATTTCTCTCTAATATGTTTAGATTTCTATGAAACAGTTGGGCATTTTCCTGAGGTTTTCTGATTAATCATTCCAAATTTGTTTTGATGACATTTATCTACTCTGCACTAGTTAAACAGTTTAATATGTGAACTGGTAATGAGAGAATCATATAATTGTGCTTGTTCCTTAGCACATACCTCATAAATAATGGGCTATTCTGTTTTGACCGTGAGTTAAGATGGAAAAGATATATCAGAGATGTTGTTTAATTTCAGTGACAAAAAGAAAGAAAGGGAAGATAGAGGAAGTGATAATGCTATCATGTGTTTAATGTCTGCTTCAGTAAAATGAAAAACTTTGTCAATTTCAAATCTATTCACTTATACCCTCTTACTTCTTTAAATAATGATCTGCATTCATACTTATGATTGTTACTGTAATATTTTGTTGAATTTGTTAAGCTCAAATATTTAATGATGCAACTTGGGAATTTTCATGAGTATTTTAGTTGTGAACTCACAAAGAGCTTGTTCAATCATTAGCTCAAGAATTAAAATTCATCAGAAAATTAGGAAAATGTGAAATTATCACAGGTATTTCTAGTTAATATTATTTTATTTCCATAAAAAGTAATAAAAACTTTTGTATAAGTATTCAAACCCTTCCCACTCAACGAAAAATAAATTAGACACAAAATTAGGTCATAAACAGCTAAAATTGAGCCATTCTTATACCCTCTGCATGTTATAATGCTGAGCATCACTTAAAAGTTACAGGATTCATGACATTACCTGAGGAAATCAAATTCTTATGCAAATGTTATTATAATGAAGTCTACAGAATTCTGGAAGTAATTTTTTTTTAAAATCATTTGAACCCAAGCAAGGCAATAAAGCCACAAAGATGCAAGGGGTTATTGAGTGTGAAAGAAATTGAGAAAGGACAAGGATTCAAGGAGACAGAAGATCATGAGTAATGTTACATTTAAATTTTTGAAGATCATAGTAAACAGAAAAACAAGAAGCTGGAAGAGACTCCCACAAGCAGGAAGTGCAAGAGAAGAAACTATTAGCATAGAACTTACAGTTACATTTAACGATTTCAACAGTGAAGTTATGAAACCTAGCTGTCAATCTAGTACTACACTTAAATCCGTAAAGTCAAGATACCAAAGATGAAAGCTCATCAAAACAGTCACCATGAAAATATTTATAGAAAAGGGAAGCTATGTTACAGTTGTAGGAAAGTGACTAAAGCTGAGATGCCAGGTCAGGACCAATAATGTTCCAGATTCGTCTTTGGATTTTGTCAAGAATCTCTAAATATACAACAGGTGCACCGGATCATATGTGGCAGCAATATACAAAGTATGGACGAATGATATACTTAAGATATATTCTGGCAAGAAATATTATCTGGAATGACAGAGGGGAACCCACTTTCCTAGCAACAGATTAAATATAAAGATTCCACTTCATTTCATTGGAAAATGTGAGAAGGCACGACGAGTTGCTTTCCTGGAGATAAGCATCAGCCATACTGATGGAAGGTCAATTTTGTTTTGGAAGCTTTAAAATTAACTTTACTATTGATTCTCTCTTATCAGTTCACTTATTAAACTGTTTTATTAAATGAGATATAAATGTGATCAGGTCAAATTTTGAATGGTTAACCAGGAATAAATGAGACTAATCTGGGGAGCAAATATTTTTACATA